AACCAAGGACCTCCTATCCTACCTTTGCCCAACAAGGCCATCCTTCCCTACATATACAGCTGGAACCATGGGTCTCTCCCTATGTGCTCCCAGGCTGGTGGTTTAGACCCTGGGAGGTCTGGTTGGTTGGTACTGTTGTTCTCCCTATGGGACCACAAACCCCTTCAGCTCCTTCAGTCTTCTCTCTAACTCCTTCATTGGAAACCTCATGGTTAGCTGTTGAGTATCCGCCTCTGTATATATCAAGCTCTGGCAGACCTCTGCGAAAAGAGCTATATAAGTCTCGTGTCAGCATGCACTTCCGGCATCCACATCAGCATCTACTTTTGGTGACTGCACATGGGATGGATACCCAGGTGGAGCAGTCCCCAGATGGCCCCTCCTTCAGTTTCTGTCTCACACTTTGTCTCCATATTTTCAAAAAAATATGAAAATATTTTTTCATATTGTTACCCCTTCTAAGAAAGACCAAAGCATCCACACTTCGATCTTTCTTCTTCATGAGCTTCATGTGGTCGGTGAGCTATATCTTGAGTATTGTAAGCTTTTGGCTAATATCCAATTATCAGTGAGTACATACCATGTGTGTTGTTTTGTGTTTGGGTTACCTCACTCAGGATATATTTTCTAGTTCCATCCATTTACCTAAGAATTTCTCAAATTCATTGTTTTTAATAGCTGAGTAATACTCCATTGTGTAAATGTACTACATTTTCTGTATCCATTCCTCTGTTGAAGGACATCTGGGTTCTTTCCAGCTTCTGGCTATTATAAATAAGGATGCTATGATCATAGTGGAGCATATGTCCTTGTTATATGTTGGAGCATCTTCTTGGTATATGCCCAGGAGCTGGGTCCTCAGGTAATGCTATGTCCAGTTTTCTGAGGAACCAACAGACTGATTTCCAGAGTGATTGTATGAACTTGCAATTCCACCAACAACGGAGAAGTCTTCCTCTTTTTCCACATCTTCGCCAGCGTCTGCTATCACCTGATTTTTTTTATCTTAGCCATTTTGACTTGTGTGAGGTGGAATCTTAGATTTGTTTTGATTTGCATTTCCCTGATGACTAAGGATGTTGACTACTTCTTTAGGTGCTTCTTGACCATTCGAGTTTCCTCAGCTGAGAATTCTTTTTTTAGCTTTGTATCCCATTTTAAAATAGAGTTATTTGGTTATCTGGTGTCTATTTTCTTGAGTTCTTTATATATATTGGATATTAGCCCTCTATCAGATGTGGGATTGGTAAAGATCTTTTCCCACTATGTTGGTCGCCTTTTTGTCCTATTGACAGTATCCTTTGCCTTACAGATGCTTTGAAATTTTATGAAGTCCCATTTGTCAAGTCTTGATCTTAGAGCATAAGCCATTGGTGTTCTGTTCAGGAACTTTTCCCCTGTGCCCAAGTATTCGAGGTTCTTCTCCACTTTCTCTTCTATTAGTTTCAGTGTATCTGGTTCAATGTGAAGAAGGTCCTTTACCCACTTGGCCTTGAGCTTTGTACAAGGAGATTAGAAGGGATCAATTTGGATTCTTCTACAGGCTGACCTCCAGTTGAACCAGCACCATTTGTTGAAAATGCTGTCCTTTTTCCACTGGACAGTTTTAGCTCCTTTGTCAATGATCAAGTGACCATAGGTGTGTGGGTTGATTTCTGGGTCTTCAATTCTATTCCATTGATCTTCCTGCCTGTCTCTGTACCAATACCATGCAGTTTTTATGACTATTGCTCTGTAGTACAGCTTGAGGTCAGGGATGGTGATTCCCCCAGAAATTTTTTTATTGTTGAGAATAGTTCTTAATATCCTAGGTTTTTGTTATTCCAAATGAATTTACAAATTCCTCTTTCTATCTCTATGAAGAATTCAGTTGGAATTTTGATGCGAATTGCATTGAATCTATAGATTGCTTTTGGCCAGATGGCCATTTTTTACTATATGAATCCTGCCAATCCATGAGCCTGGGAGATCTTTTCATCTTCTGAGATCTTCTTCAATTTCTTTCTTCAGAGACTTGAAGTTCTTGTCTTACAGATCTTTCACTTGCTTGGTTAGATTCACACCAACATATTTTATATTATTTGTGACTATTGTGAAGGGTGTCATTTCCCTAATTTCTTTCTCACCCTGTTTATCCTTCAAGTAGAGGAAGGCTACTGATTGAGTTAATTTTATATCCAGCCACTTTGGTGAAGCTGTTTATCAGGTTTAGGAGTTCTCTAGTGGAAGTTTTGGGGGTCACTTAAGTATACTATCATATCATCTGCAAATAGTGATATTTTGACTTCTTCCTTTCCTATTTGTATCCCTTTGACTTCCTTTTGTTGTCTAATTGCTCTGGGTAGGACTTCCAGTACTATATTGCATAGGTAGGGAGAGAGTGGGCAGCCTTCTCTAGTCCCTGATTTTAGTGGGATTGCTTCAAGTTTCTCTCCATTTAGTTTGATGTTGACTACTAGCTTGCTGTATATTCCTTTTACTATGTTTAGGTATGGGTCTTGAATTCCTGATCTTTCCAAGACTTTTATCATAAAGGGATTTTGAATTTTGTCAACTGTTTTCTCAGCATCTAATGAGATGATCATGTTTTTTTTTTCTTTGAGTTTGCTTGTATAGTGGATTATATTATGGATTCCCATATATTGAACCATCCCTGCATTCCTGGGATAAAACCTAACTTGATTATGATGGATGATTGTTTTGATGTGTCTTGGATTTGGTTTGTGAGAATTTTATTGATTATTTTTGCATCAATATTCATAAGAGAGATTGGTATTATGTTTTCTTTCTTTATTGGGTCTTTGTGTGGTTTAGGCATGATCGTAATTGTAGCTTCATAGAACGAATTGGTTAGTATTCCTTCTGTTTTTATTTTGTGAAATAATTTGAAGAGAATTGCTATTAGGTCTTCCTTGAAGGTTTGATAGAATACTGCACTAAATCCATCTGGTCCTGGGCTTTTTTTTGGTGGGGAAACTTTTAATGACTGCTGCTATTTCTTTAGGGGTTATGGGACTGTTTAGATAATTTATCTTCTCTTGACCTGGTATCTGTGTAAACAATTGTCCATTTCATTCTGATTTTCCAATTTTGTGTCTCTCTTAACAACTGGACTCAAGCCTATTTCTCTGAGCTTTGCATAATAGACTACAACTTTGCTTCATATTGACTTGTCCTGATGTTCTTCACTGCAGTATAAGTCAAGCCAATTGGCTGTGAAGGGTGTGGTGACTCACATTTATAATTCCAGCATTTTACAGGGTTTAGAGAAGAGGATTTTTATGAGTTTGAGGTTAGCCTGCTCTTGATATCTTGTTCCAGGATAGCCTGGGCTATGAAATGTGACCTTATCTTGACAAACAAGAAATAATGATCAGAGAAATAGCTCAGTGGAGTGGTTAAGTATTTTTGCTGTTCTTGAAGAGAATCTGAGTTCAGTTTTAAGTATCCGTACTGGGCACCTTTCAACCATGTAGAACTCCAGATTTAGGGGATCTGATTACCTCCTTTGTACTCGATGGACACTTACATTCATGTGTGCATATCCCCACACAGAAATAACTAAACACATATCAATAAAAACAAACAAGAAAGAGCAGGCTATGTTAGTACGTGTCTGTAATTCAAACACTTGAGAAGTAGAGAGAGGAGAGTCAGGGGTTCAAACAGAACTTCCCTTTACATAGTGATCTTGAAACCAGCCTGAGCTCTTCTCAGGATGCACAGCCCACTGGTAGTAGTGTACCAATACCAATACCTGTTCCTAAACTTTGGATCCAGAGACATGGCTTAGTATGTTAAAAGTTCTAGCTGCACAAACATGACTACCTGAATTTGATCCCTAGAACCCATGTAAAAAAATGTTAAGATGTAGCACTCATATGTCAAGATGAGAGACAGAGACAAGTCCCAGCTAGCCTAGAGAACAGAATACTTGAAAGACCTTCAACAAGATGGAAATAAGTACCAACTACCAAAATACATTCTCTGTCCTAAACACACACACACACACACACACACACACACACACACACACACGATGAAAGGAACTCTGGTGAATAGAGAGCCACTCTGGGTATCTTGAATTCTTGAAATTATATATCCTAATAAGATATGCGTAAAGGATTAAGTATTAAGTGTTGTTCTTATCAGACTTAAAAAATCATGTATTTCAACCTTTTAAAATATAAATTTGTATTTTAAATTAGCACACAAAATATTAGATGTTATTTTAGTATTCTCAAAGTGTGCTTTAGTAGATTTTCCCCATCCATCTTCTCCACCCTTCCCTACCCCTAATCTCCTCTTGTAGCCTCCTCGACAAACTTTAACAATTTAAAATTATCATTGTTATTTAAGACTGAGTATGGATGTATGTATGACAGGTACATATATGAAGATCAGAGGACAATTTGCAGGAGTTCTTTGTTTCCTCCCACCAAGTGGTTGAGGATTGAGCTCAGATTGTCATGTTTGGTGAAAAAATACCTTAACCTACAGAGCCATCTCTTCAGCTACACAATTTACTAAGAGTCAACCTTCCCCATCTTTTATCTTTACATCTTTACATCTCGTTCTGAGACATCTTCATGTCACTGCTTGTTATTTCCTGAGTGCCTTACTGCTGGGTCTTTGAGGCTATCTGAACATGAACCTGTCTGAATTTAGCCCTCCAAGGAGTTTTCATACTCAACACAACTCCCCCAGATATTACAAAGACCAAGGGAAATGGTTGATAAGAGCAGAGTTTAAATAAGAGTACTGGAGCTAATATTATTGCCAAATAATCCCAATACAAATGTTAGTTGCACAACAGAGCTCACGAGTGTCCTTGCATGTGAGAGGAAGCAGAATATAGTAGTAGTCAGCAGCTGGTGGACCACACGAAGGATGTGAGGTCTGAGTAGCAGCCACGCTGCAGGCAGTGTGAGAAAACATGAGCACCAAGTTCCCAGGGTGTATGTGAACGTGCATTTCTTTACAAAAAGGCATAGGGAGTGGGTGTGCGGTGTTGGTCTGCCGTACTCAGAGGAAACCAAATGCAAATTGCTACATTTTGTAGAGGTCTTAGTTTTCAGTCTCCTTTTGTTATGAAGTTGGAGACTTGCTGCAAGAAGCTGGGCACCAAGTGGAGGCCAAGGCTGTTTAGTAGCCTGCTTTAGTGAAGGAGGTGGAATGCTCACCACAGCACTAACCAGAGGAAGTTGTCTGTTCCTCAAGGTCTTTGTGAGACTTCCGGTCGTTGCATCTGATGGAGCAGTTTGTGCCAGAGGTGAGTCCTCACTTGAATCGTTCTGAAGACAGAGATGGAGAGGCAAGAAGGACTGTGAATGATCAATCAACTGTCTCTCATGTTGCCTTTGAGCTCCATGCTGACTGGGGGTGGAGGGGAGGGCAACCTTTGCAAAAAGAAGATAGAACACAAAGTGTTGGGTCAAGAACTGCTGAAGCTAAATCCTGGTCTGCCGTGCGAAAGCTTCTTGGGAAACTCCTTCCCTGCAAAATGGGAAGAATGTAATGCGTATTGACTGTGAGGGTGTCTTAACATCCTCATTTTAATTTCTGCCATTCTTCCAGTTTCCAGGATTGCTTTATCCTTCCTCAGGTATTCCTGTTTCCAAAAAAACTTAAAATTCTGATTGTGTTTCTTGTCTTTTTTTTTCTCTTTTCAAAATTAGATTCTGATACCTAATCAGAATTTAAGTGACCACTCAAATGTTTTTCCAAATGCTTACACACACACACACACACACACACACACACACAGCGGGGGAGGGGGAGATAGATTCTCCTTTCAGCTTTGAAATACACACCATTTCTCGCCTGCTTATATACATCATTCACTTGGTACTTTCCTTGTGTCTTTGGATAACTAAACTGGCCTCCCATCTTCTACATGGATCAGTGAGTGATAAGGGCAGCAGACCACCCTTTTCATAGTTACAATGCCACTGCATTATAACTTGAAATGGTGCATGTCTCCATGTCCCTCCCAAAGTACTTCTATAAGCTTATTTATGAAATCTTCCAGACTTACAGAGTTGTTGAAGATTTTAGGGTATGATCCTGGGTCCTGCACAACCTAGCCCTCACAACCTAGATTCAACCTCCTGTCCTAACTGGGCCAATTAAAGAGAAGAATAAGTAATACTGCAAGTAAAAAAGGAGATTTAGTCACAGTGGACACATTGGAGGAGGAACAGAGAAGTCCTTCCAAGTCATCCGCAGGGTACTGATATGAAACTTAGGTTTAAATAGAAGGCCAGAGACATGCATAGCTAAGCAAACATGGTCCAAGTTTTGTCCCACCCACTATTGACCCCTCATTGTTTCTCAGCTCCAGTCTCCTAACAGGTCTGGCAAATTGAAGAACCATGTGAACTGTTTTCCTGAAACAAAATTCTTTTTTTTTTTTTTTCTGGCTGGCACCAGGGCATTAGCTTTTCCCTTCTTGAAACAAACATATTCCTGGGGAAACAAAAATATTCCTGGGGAAATTCCAATTCCTTAAAGTCTCTTGTTTCATTAATGTGATAGGCAAAAAGGAGGGGCACAACTGTCTCTTTACAACTGTCTCAAGGTTTTTTTGTTTGTTTGTTTGTTTGTTTTTACACTTCCACGTGTAACACATCTTCAAATGTGTTGGACACATTTATAGCTGCCCTAGGATGTGTGTAGCCTTTAGGTGGCATGTTGAGCATATCTAATTCACAACATTAGGACAGTTACAAAGATGCCATTATGCCAATATACAACCAACAGACCTGTGAACATGTGGGGTGGAGGAGATACTTTGTAATAGACCAAAGAAATTAACCAATGATAGAAATCACTCTCCAGGCTGGGATATTATCTGCTTGACCTTGTATTTGCAAAGGTCTTGTAGATGTTATCTCAATAGCTGTGAACTCATCTATGCAACTGCTCTGTTGTAGGTGAAAAACACTATTTCATAGTAATTGTCTGCTGCCCAAGCTCTTAAAGTCTCTCCAAACATACCTTAGTTCCTTTTAACTGCCATTTACATTTGACCTCTGTCTGACCTACTAGATAAAAAACTCTTAGAATGCAAAGCTAAGCTTGAAAGATGTCCAGATTCCATGAGCCCTAAAGCTAAGAATGTTATAAACACCTGAATCTGATAGGAGAGATTACCCTAAGTTGTAGCTTATCTACCTGGTGACTCTCTTGATATATTCTGTAAATAAATGCATTTATGACTTTATTTTGTTTTGTGGTTTCAACAATTGGAATCATCTCTTTTACAATAGAATGCTGATCTTTATGGTACTTTCTAGGCCAAGTCAGTTATATTGATACAGAATAATAGTCTTATTTCTTGTAAAGCATGGCTAACAGTTTATGTGGCTAGATCCTAGTTGGCTTCAGTTTCAGTTTGGAATCCAGAAGTACTTCATTTCATTAAACAGAAAGGGCTAGCAGAAGAGACTACTTTTATAGCCAGAAGCATAAAGCAGAAAAAGAACAAAAAGAGAATTGGCCATTTCAGTGATATTTTCCTTACAGACAGGGTCAACAAGACATAACAGTACCAAAATACCTGATTGTATTACCATTAGTGGCTTTGATTGTCATTTTATGTAAGACTTAAGGAAGAGAGACTTTATTGCTGTGAACAAGGAAGCTAACATGTTTGAGAATTTGCACACAATGCCTTTCTCCTCTGATTTCTTAGAAGGTTGGTAAAAAGCTCAGGTTCCTTTGGAATTTTATTATGAGTGATTCCATTTTGATTTTAGACTGTTTTATTAGGGCTTAATGTATTTTAGTTGAATCTATGGAATACTGTAATTTTATTTATCTATTTATATGTTTGTTTTTGAGACAGGATATTACTATCTAACCCTGGCTTACCTAAAACTCACTATGTAGAATAGGATGGCCTTTAACTCACAGAGATTCACCTGCCTCTGCCCACTAAGCACTGGGAGTAAAGGTGTGTGTCACCACAATTTTCTGGAGTACTGTAATTTTAAATAAACATGTTAACATCTTTCTTCTGAGTTTTTTGATATAATATAATGGGATTTAAACTGGTTGTTAAAAGCTTTCAGAAAACTTTTTGTGTTCTGGGTAAAAAGGGACAGAGTTAACTGGCCTGACTTGTTTTGTCCTTTTGCTGTTCCTGCTGGTTTGGGAACTGACATTGCGTGTAGAAGTACAGCATCAAGCTTGAGACAAGAAAACACAAGGAAAATGGGGAAAGAAATCATTTGTGAAAGTTCACAAGGTGGTTTGAATGTTCATAGGCTCATGTGCTTATTTGGTCCTCAGTGATGATGCTGTTTTGGGATGTTGTGGACCCTTTTGTACATGAGGCCTGACAGATGTAGGGCCACAGAGACTCAAGGTTATAAGACAGGGTTAGAGAGTTATAGCCCACTTCTGGCTCCTCTCTGCATCTCTGTTGCCTGATAGGTTGAGATGTATACATCAAGCTGCAAGGTCCTGTCATCACTGATGGCACCCCAGATGTCATTCATCTCCATGAGACATGAGCAAATCAAATCCTTTATCCCTAAAATTGCCTTTCATGAGGTGTCTGGTTGAGTGATGAGAAACTGGTGGGCCTTGATACACAAAACAGATAAACACAAGCAGTTCTGCAGTACATAAGATTCTGTGCTAATTGACACCTAGGTTTTGGCCCTAAGACGTGGCTGAAAGGTAATGTGTACAGACATAGGCAGCACTCTTAGCTTTAAATCGAAAGCATAAACATACTCTGTTCATCTATCATCTCAAAAATTTTCACCATTCGTGGCCTCTAACTTTTCACTGCTAACCGTTCACTGCTACTAACCTAGTCTAAACCTAACCTAGTCTAAATCTCTGTCACTCACAATAATGCAGTATTCTCTTTGTTATTTATTTTGTGGTATCTCACATGAGTAATTCCAGCATTTGAGATGAAGAGGTAGGATAAAGAGAAGTGCAAACTAATCCTTTTCTATACATTGGGTTTCAGGATATCCTGGGCTTCATGACACTCTGTCTCAATAAATGTCTCAAAGGAAAAAAAGTATCCAAGGCAGCTCTATACAGGCCACTGAATCTCTCTATTGTTTCTTGCTCTCTAGTATTCTGCAGTACCACTTCCAGACATCTCAGTCTCATAATACTTGAATTCTTGTCTCCTCTGTTCACTGGGATGTCTATACAGCTATTCCAACCTTTTTTGCATTGATCTTAATTCTAAGTTGAGGTAGCAGTAGGACTTGTTTCATTCATTATTCTCTTCTCAGGGACCAGGTATCAAAGGCTAGAAAATAATGGTGGTATGTATCTATCTAGTTCTCTAGTTTTATGGTGTAAAGCTTCTTTCATCATGTCTGTAGGCAACTAGAAGCACTTATCAGATATGTGTAATATTTAGCTTCTATTCTAGTTACCTGGATCAGAGTATGCTGGCATGTGGTTTTCAGTGAGAACAGTTCTTGTTTCAAAGGAAATAAAAGTGTTTACTTTGAGCAAATATGAGAGATCCCGGGCCAGAAACAAGTACATAAGTTTCTTTTTCTTACAAATTTGTAAGTGGTTACCATGAGCTTCTGTTAGTCACAGAACAAATAAATGTCAGACGTCAAAGACCAATGCATGTACCAAATACATTGGTAGGCACATTAGATAAACATGTTACAGCAAAGTAAGAGAAATCTCTGCCTTGCTTTACAGCATATCTGATGATATCCTTAACTCTTGGCTTGGTGGATATTAGTTTCTTTTGAGAGCATGTTTCAAAGGTCTTTCTTGATAGTCATAGGAAGTCTTAGGTAAAATACAGAGCTCAGTAATAAAAGGCTATTAAAAGGACTAAAAATAGCTCAAGATAACTTTGGTTCTGCAACATTTTAGTTCTCCACAATGAATCCCAAACAAAGTTCCCAGAATCCCAAAGTTCCCAGAATCTTCACACAGATAAAGCTTTTGGGGGGGGGGGGGGAATTCAAGATCTTGTAGTAGAGGGAGTGAACCTCAAGCAGGGAAGTTTTCAGAGCAAGATGTAGATTGTAGGTGTTTTACATTGAAGGTTGTTCTTCTTACTTACTCCTCATCATCCCTCCCCCAGCTTGGCTGCTGTAAGCACTCATCCGCTCAGTTACTGTCACTTCAGTCTCTGCTCTCTAGCATGATTTTGTGTTCTGAATCAGCAAGGCCCCCTCTAATACCTTTCTAGACACCATTCATAATAACTGGAAAGGGTCTTTCACAGCCAAGTTCATAGACCACCCAGAAAAGCTGAGGCCTACC